GAGGCAGTATGACCTCTGAAACGTTGGTTAACATCGACCAGACTACACAGCGCAACAACCCAGAAGACAGAAATCTTCAGACTCATCGCCCTGATGACGGAGGCAGTATGACCTCTGAAACGTTGGTTAACATCGACCAGACTACACAGCGCTACAACCCAGAAGACAGAAATCTATATTTTCACTTACAAGACATCAGAAGCTAGTGGATCACGGGAAACCAGATCTCTCGCCGTAAAAACTGTTACGAAATATTAACGGGATCAAGAAGTTGAACGATTTTTTTTAAATTTTGGTACAACGATCAAATCAGGGCTGAGGAGACGAAAGGGCGTACAACACTTTGAATTTGATATTAAATACATAATTTCATTTTAAATATGGCAGGATGATATTTTAAATGTATCGTAAGCAGATAAGGTGTGACGTCATAGAAGAATTACACATGAGAACAGTAAAAGAATGTATGACAAATGCACATGGCAATAATAAAAATTACATCAATTTGTAATAACAACAGGTCGGTAATAAATAATAAATCATTAATGTAACAGAAAAATATATTAACCAATGTTTCAGTAACAAAGAATCACACATTAGAGTAAAATAACTAAATAATAATAGAACATGACAAAAAGTAAAGTCAAATTAATTATAAAAACATTACCAACGCCGTAGTAGAAAATGATCACACATGACAGTAATAAATTAATACTAACGTAATGGTTGTAAAGAAACACTTTCGTAAAAATTATTACCAACTTGACAGTTTAATAGAATCACACGTAATAATTGTCAAAGAAATGTGACAGAAGCAGATTATTCAGTACATCAACAGACATAAAATAGATAAATATGTATTACATACCTCAGGGTTCTCATAGTAGTGTTGGTAAAGGTGAAACAGCTTTCTTTATGCGCGGACGTAGAAGTGCACGCATCGGTCAACAAGAGTTCACTTTTGTTTGTGTGAGCCATTAGTCGGTTTCAGCACGTAACAAACTGACGTGTTACCGTTCACTAGCATAAACAAGCGAACAGTCATCTTCACACCTTTGAACCACTCGAAGAGTGGATGAGCTACTGATTCACTAATTAGTTGATTGACTTCCGTAAGTTATTGTGTACTAATGCATAAGGTTCAGCTTTTATTTTGGTCGTCCGAGGTCCCGTTACACCAGCCAGTACACACAGGTCAGGAAAGAAATTATAATTTACTTCTCCTTCAACCATGTTCTATCTCCTCCCATGTCAGGCTATATTGTCTGTGCCTGCTACAATTTTATTGTTTTGAGATTAGTTTTTAAATACCTTGTAATTTAACTATAATTATAAGCTTAATTATTTTTAATATGATTATACAGATTTCCCCAAAAGTCATTTATCCAAAAGCTAAATGTAAAGTTTAATATACTTAATTGATTATAATCCGAGGCGAATCCTGGTCTGAAAGTTTTATCGCGCTGAGATACAGTATTATTAAATTCCCCCAAAATAATAACTATAATATGGTAAAGATATTTTTATTATTATGCTGCTGTTATACAGCAAAACATTTTTATTTATGTTTCTTCTCCTCTGGGAAATACCACGGTGATTTGATCATTCGCCAATGATTATAATTAGATATTAAGATTATAATTTACATAATTACAACGCATATTGAAAGTGTCCCTACCAATTTGTAAATGTAACTCAACTCGTAGCAGCTATAGGAAGAGTTGGTGCTGGACTCTTCAGTTCGGTATGCAAGGAATTATAGAATTCAACAAACGTGGTATAAACGCAGTAGGAGAAAGCAACATCGTTGTTATTCACCTCTTAAGTCAAATTACGGCAACAAAACTGCTTGTGGTTACTCAGTTGTTAGAATGTCTAAGCGCCAGATTAACAACTTCTTTCGGGTTTGTTTGTTCATACGTCGCATGATTCGGTTAGGAATATTTTGCACTTCGTGCTACAACGTTTTGAGAATCTAGAGTTTTCTTTTCCAGACTTGTTACAGCTGCAATTTACTCTTCAGAACATGGAATGAGAAGTTCCTGCGACAAAGAAGATGTCGATATTGGTATTCGTTGTAACGCCGTGCGGACTTTTATGCAAATAATAGAGTTTCGGACGAAAGTATTGCGTCCATATGAGAACAAAGAACTACAAATACAGCACTTGTTTACAGTTTGTTGTCTGGAGTCTCGTTTCTGTTGCCTTAACTCCTTACTGCATAAAGAAGGCGAGATTCATTAAGTGTGTCCCGATTATTTAGCATAAACATTGTCTCCCTTGAGCGAACGTTCTCAACAAGGGAAATGATCTAGCTTCGTTATCTGTCTTTTTATATTTTTTAAAGTTTTACAATTATATTAGTGTTCCCTAGGTGGATTATTTGTTTTTATTTATATTTCTTCATTTTTTGCTCTGTGTTAATATTGTTTCTATTTTGGGTTTGCCTGTACTTGGCAGTTATATTTAATACTGTACATGTATAAGTTCAGTTAATCCGTTTGTGTAATATTATCCATTATTATTTCACTATTATTGTATATATTATCAGTGTTTGCCTGTTATTCCCTGTTATTCTTGCTGTTGGCAAACACGTAAATAAATTAATTGAATTGAATTGAATTGAATTATCGCCAGAATGTCTATATGTGTGTGTGCGCTTCTGTGTTTCATTGTATTTGTACACTTTGCGTTTATTTGCCGGTACTTTTTCACAGTTATGACGTACATATTTTTTTGAAAGTACTGCATTTGTGATGTCTTTAATTCTTTTCTGTATGCTCCTAACCTGATGATACTTTAAAACCCTCCCTCATAATGATTAACACTCTTGCCACCAGATGGCAGAAGCTTTTGTTCGTTCGTTGTGATCCTTAATTCTTATAAAATAACTATAACAACAATTATTTTTCCAAATTTTGTACATATAGAGGTAAATTGATTAAATGGATAAGGTCGTCATATGTTCATAGGTGCAATAAAATGTTCTACTAAATAATCAAAATACATAAGAATTTAGATGAAAGCTGCAGCCAGTTTCGTGTTGATGTTTGTTCTGGCCTTTTGAACAGCTTCAATCAGTTATATAATAAATGTTATATTCGTTTTTATTAATATTGTAGCATTATCGAATTTTGAAGAACATCGGAATGTAGCAATTAGCATAAGATATTCGTTTCCTTGCCCTCGTTTAAAATATGTTTTCTGTCTGACATGATCTTATGATTTGGGAAATATTCGGTATGATTTCTCCGTTATCCTTGTTTCACAGACCCCTAGTTGAATTTCACTGTCAGTGTACCTGTCGTTGCATATAATGTGGTTTCAAAATAGGAACAATAAGTGGATTCAGATAAACCTGGATGGGAGATGCTGTCTATTAACTCCGCAATGATTCGGTCTCCTTTCACACAAATGTAATGAATCAATAGCACTAGCTTGCAGCAAGTTCGTCCCGTCTGTACACAGGAGCTATGGGAGAAGCACTCTGTAGATTAACAACAAACTTGGTGGACTGATTTAATCACACTGCCAAGACGTGTGCTTCAGCCGAACTTCAAACACCAATCAGAGATGTGTCTGTGTCTTTCCATGTTAAATGTGTCCCCCCAAGAAAGGGCGTCAGACTTTTTGCTTTTGGAGGAAATAATACATTTAGAGTAAAACACACAAGAAATGATGCTTCATAATATTAAGTAATTGGTCAAAGTAAAAATGTTATACGTCGTTAAAAGCAGAGGTTATTGGCGGTTCTGTCTCTCTTAAGCGAAAAACTTTCTCCAGAGCTAACCCAGTTGAAAGTTAGCATGTTTGTGTGATTTTTGACAGATTGTGATAAGTTAAAATATTTTTTATTTAATCTTCTGCATGGAATTTTTCTCATGAACACAAATACAATAAAACATAAGAAACGTCAACATTTTTAAAATGTCGTTAAGGAACCAATGTTAATAGTAGATGCAGACAAGAAGTTGGAGTGACAAATTGTTTTTCACATCGAGACAGCTGTTAATACATGTTTGGATAAATAATCACTGTTTATTCATTGATTCATAAGAAAATCGTAAATACATTCTGTGGATAAAATGCATATTTAATGGATGTTAGATCAGGTGGTAAATATGGTTACCACTGTGTTCAAAATATTGACTCTATTAATGTTCTTAAAATATGAACTAAAGATATCAGAATATCAGTGAGATTTATTTCATTACCAAATAGTTTTTTTGTGTAATTGTTACTAATTTAATTGTAAATTTTCAGTGTTTTTATGATTCGTGCACCGTCAGGGAATACAGCCTTCCAAAGTCTGAAAGTTGAAATATATAGTACGTACACTAAACTTTGTTTTGCGTATTATTATCTGAGCAAAGACAGATTCTCCCGAAAATGTCTATCCGTAATATGTCCCTTAACATTTACGTATAAACGGTATGGCGAATTATATGGAAGTGAGAAAGCAGATTATTTCAGATTACTTTTTCTTTATTAACTTTGACAATTAAAAATCGCGTGTGGAGTGACCGGTGTCCATTCTGTGCGCTCTCCGCCAGGTTAATTGTACCGTATTTTCGAATGATTAATTACTCGTGACCACAATTATTCTTAATAATTAGTGACATAATGACTAAAAAGTTAAAGGACACGGTGGAGTTATTAATTCCACATACGTTCTGTAAAAAATCCAGTCGGATTATAGAAACGCTGTAACTGACGTAATGTCGTGAGCAATGAAAGTTCTGGTCACAGATGATTTTCGTTCTGTAGCAACAGAGAAGTCAGGCTAGTAACATAATAAGTAGGCAGGAAGTACCTAGAAGGACAAGTCGCCTTGTTCCTTTGATCCCGAGCGAAATTATACCAGTAGTCACTTCATACTCAAAGTAGATAGATCAAAGGCAGCCCAGTGCAAAGTAATGCTTTTACCCAAAGGCCTGCGAGTGACGTCAGGAAACACGTATATAAGGTCGAAAAATAAATTGCCGCCATGCTGTTTGTGCAGCAACTTCCATCTCATGTACTGGATGTCTTATTTACTGTTTTTGTAACAATCTTTGATAGGAATCAGCCCGCTCTGTGGTTGGAATAAGTATACTATTGAGGCAATGTTTTGTTTCTTTGTAACATGAAAATAAATTACGGTTGTTCAGCAGTTAGAATTCGTGCTTTGTGTTATCGATATCTTGGGTTAAACCAGAAAACGATCACTTCTACTGAACGTTTCGTATTTTTATTTCAGTCAAACCAGGCAAATGGCTAGAAGCCTTAATTGAATCCTTGACTTTCTTATAAATCGTTTTCATTTCAGTATTCATTAATCACAATATTTTTCTGCGCTGTATAGTCTTAGCAGTTTATGGCGTAGCTAAATACATCTGGAATAAATAAATAAATCACTTCAAACATTTCAGCAAGATTGTTGGAAGTAGCCAGTCGTCTGAAAAATGTTGACTCATTATATGAGGTGCGATCGGAAAGTTTCAAGACTGTGTCAATAGAGGGCGAACCGGATGTAGTACGAGCTTCTGCTGCTAGGGGGTGCGGCCTACATTCATAGTGAATCAGTGTGCCAGCCGGCATCCTCGAATTAGCATTTGTTTCTTAGTTACGGGCGTTTTGGTAGTGCATTACACCGACCCTCCTGCGATTTCGGAATGGCGTGTGCATCAACTTTTGCCAAAGACTCGCCAAAACGGCTACGGAAACCTATGAAATGCTAAAGCAAGCATTTGGGGAGTCCTCAATGGGTCGTGCACAAACTTTTGTGTGGCATTCACGTTTTAAAAATGGCCGAACCTCTGTCGATGATGACGAGCGTTCTGGCCGACCATCTTCGAGCACAACGCCCGAAACTGTTACGAAGATCGACGTCGTACCATCACTTGTACGACTTGTGCGACATTGTTGGGATAGGCTATGGGGCCTGTCAGCTGATTCTAAAGGAAGAACTCCACATGCGACGCATCGCAGCCAAGTTTGTGCCAAGGCTCCTGTCTGAGGACCAGAAGCAGAATCGCCTTGACTTCTCGTTTGTCAGGAGCTCAAAGATCTTGCAAGATCCGACCCCAACTTCCTTTCTAAGCTCCGTGTGACTTCTTCCTCTTCCCAAAGATGAAATTCAGCTAAAGGGAAGGAGATTTGAGACGATAGAAGAGATTCAGGCAGAATCGCAGATGGTGCTTGACAGGCTGACAAAGAAAGATTTCCAGGGATGCTTCCAGGCTTGGCAGCGGCGCTGGGATCGTTGAGTTCACTCCCAGGGGAACTACTTCGAGGGTGATGGATGAATTTAATGCCTGAGATAAGTGTACGGGTTTGTTATAGGCGCAGTCTATAAACGTTCCGATCGCACCTCGTATGGCTCTTGTCCTTGGGAAAATTGAAAAAACAAAAGGCCCAAGTCTCCACTGCAAATTTCATGATAAGGTAGAGACCACTAGGACAAATGTCAAGCCAGTCCATTTGTTGTGCCACGAGTGAAAATGCAACGAGCAGGACAGAAACAATCCAACGGTATGCTTACAAGAAATGAGATGGGAGGATAATACTAAAATAGATATTGAAGAAAGAGAGCGCTTCAGTGTGGGCTACATTAGTCTGGCTCAGAATAGGGTTCAGTTACGGATTCCAGTGAATACGGTGTTGAATTGTAAAGATTCATAAATGGCGGGAAATTTCTCAACTGACTCAGCTACTATCAACTTCTCAGCAAGGACTCCTAGCCGTGGAGTTGCATGGAATCCAAATTTTTTCCGCGAAGTTTGTTCCATATATTCCTAGTTACTGAATATGCAGTTACGTGTATTCCAGTTAGTTAATTTTTAAAGGTACGTTCTTATTTTAATAATCATTCGACAAGTATATCCGTGTTGAGTTCTTGGGAGATGAAGTCCAATGGGGATTTTGGACAGCCTGGATATGCAGTTTGGCAGTTCCCTTTGGATTTGCCAAGGCATTCTGCAGCTAAATATTGCTTCTCAACTGGAAGATTCTCTAGGATTTGAGTGTTATCGCTGCA